TGTCGTGACCGTCATAACATCATAGGGCAATGCATTCCTCATGTGTCCATTATAACATCATAGGGCAATGCATTCCTCATGTGTCCATTATAACATCATAGGGCAATGCATTCCTCCCAGGTCTGCTCTGTAGCCTAGGAGCAGTAGGCTGGCCCACACCCCAGGTGTGCACCAGGCTGTACCATCCAGGTGTGTGGAAGTGCGCTCTGTGATGCTCGCACAACGACAAAATCATATTAATGACTGTGCATGAATATTCATAGCAACATTATTCATAAAGTTCAGAAGGTAAAAATAGCCCAACTGTCCTTTCACTGATGAATGGACAAATAAAGTGGATAGATAATATTCCTTACAGTGGACTGTCGTTTGGCAATAAAAAAGAATGAATTATTGGGCCATGCTACAACCTCGGGAAGAGTATGCAAAGTGAAAGAAGTCAGTCACAGAGCACCATATCTTGCATGATCCCATTCAATGACGTGTCCATAGTAAGGAAAACTCTAGAGACAAAGTAGAAAGTAGAGGAACCTAGGACAGAGGAAGTCTGAGGGAAATGGGGAGAGCTAATGGTCATGGAGTATCTTCTTGGAGTGATGAAACTGTCCTCAAGCTGACAGTTACATAACTTGGTGCACATGCTAAAAACCTGGAACTGTACACTTAAAACTGGTCGATTGTGTGACGTGTGCATCACATCTAAGTTGAGCTGTTATTTAAAAAGAGCAGCAAACTGCCAAGAACCAATTCCAGCATGTAATAATTACAAGAGTTTTACCAAAAGGTTGGTGAAGCTTGGGGAGCTCAGCAGGGTTGAGTCACATGTAGTTTACCTGTTGGAAATGGCTACAAAGCATCTCCCCCAAACCTGAATAGGATGATTGTTAACTGCCAGACAACTCAGGGCATTTTATTGCCTCTTGTTGGCCAAACACCTGAACAGCTGCAGGCTATTCCAGAAACTGACAACCTCTGTCAACCTTTGATACTATATCCTTTGGAGTGTATATTCCCACCTTGCCTTGGGACAAATTGTGTTTAATAAAAGTACAGGTCTTTGGTCAAGGAGAAGAGTCTTCTAGCTCCTTCAGCTGGAAGTTCCTCTGACCCCCAATGCCTTTCAAAAATATCTTTCGTCCACGGACTCCTTCTTAATCATCTAAGTGCAGCCCTTTCTCCGGAAGGCTGAACCCTTTGTAAGGCTGGGGAAAAAGAGCCCCAGCAATAAACAAACCAATGACAAGCAAATGTAGGCTCAAAGATGAAAATAATAATAATAATAATAATAATAATAATAGTAATAACTGGCTTAAAGCTGAAATTTAATCTTTAATTTAGTCTGAAAATTCTGTCTTCTCACCAGAACAGTTAGTCCATTTACATTGATTGTAATACCTGGGTTTATTCCCACCATCTTATTTTGTGTTTTCTATTTGCACAGCTTTTTCTCTTTCTTTTCCTTCATGCCTCACTTTGACCCTCACTGAGAAAAACATGTTAACAGAAGAAAAACAAACAATAGGAGCAATAAGTAATGTGACCCACCAGTGTCCCCACATCGAGCTCAGGGAAGAGCTGTCTGCTTGGAGTGAGCTGCCTCCTCTGTGGGACTCTATTCTGGGACCTGCTCATGTGAACAGTAATAAGATGCGGTTCAGATTTCTATGTGTATTGAGTTTCATTTCCCCCTTTACTAGTTAAGCAGTTTTATTTTCTTTCTTTATTCTTCTGGTTGTTACCCTTAATTTTTTTTCACATTCTTACTTAGCACAGCAAAGCTAAGTAAGTTCCCTTTTGTTGTATTGGACTCCCCCACATGAGACATTATTACCGATGCATTACAGTCACTGTGTTTTGAATTTAAGCACACATTTACCATCATCTTTGCTCAGCATTCTTCCTCGAATCTCAGGCCTTCCAACTGGGAAGTATTTTTCTTCTACCTAGAGTATATATTTTTTTTAAAGCAGCTTTATTGACCTATAATTCGTCTGCCACACAATTCATCATTTTAATGGTACAATTCGATGGTTTTTAGTATAGGCACCGAGCTATGCAGCCATCACCATGATCGGCTTCCCAACATTTTCATCGCCCCAATAAGAAATCTCGTAATCACTAGTAGTTGCTTCATATTTCCCCCCAAAACTCCCCAGGCCTAGGCACCCACTAACTTTTTTTTCTGTCTTTTTAGATTTGCTATTCTGGACATTTCACCTAAGTTAAATCATGCAGTATGTAGTTGTTTTTGTGATTGGTTTCTTTCACTTAGCATAATGCTTTCAAGGTTCCTCACAATTGTATATGTATTCGTATTTCACTCCTTTTTATTGCCAAATAATGTTTCCTTGTATGAATATACTACATTTTATTTATCCATTCGTCAGCCAAAGAACATCTGGTGTTTTTTCACTTTTTAAATGAATAATGCAGCTATGATCATTTATATATAATTTTTATATGGATGGATGCTTTTATTTCTCTTGAGTATATACCTAGGAGCAAAATTGCTGGGTCATATGGAAACCCCATGTTTAGTATTTTGAGGAACTGTGAAACTGTTTTCCAAACTACATTCCTATCAGCAATGTCTGAGGGTTCCAACTTCCCCATGTCCTTGCCAATACTTGATATTTTCTTTCTTTATTCTTTCCTTTCTTTTCTTTTTTTTAAAAAAAGGTGTTGTTTTTTTTTATTATAACCATTCTAGTGGCTGTGAAGTGGGTTCTTACTGTAGTTTTTTTATTTCTTTGATAGCTAAATATGTAGGGTATATACTTATGTGTTCTTGTACTTATTGGCCATTTATATATGTTCTTTAGACAAATGTATGTGTAAATCTTTGCCTATTTTTTAATTAGGTCATTTATCTTTTTAATATGGAATTGTAATAGTTCTTTATGTATTCCAGCTCTTATCAGATAGATGATTTCAAAATATATATTCCCATTCAGAATTTGTTTGTTCACTATCTTGATGGTGTCCTTTGAAGCACACAAGTTTTAAATGTTGATGAAGTCAAACTTAGCAATTATTTCTTTGGCTACAGTGCTTTTGGTGTTGTATCTATAAGATAGCTCTGCCTAACTCAAGGTCACTAAGATTTACACCTATATTTTCTTCTAAGGTTTTTATAGTTTTAGCTCTTACTTTAGGTTTAGGATGCATTTTGAATTAATTTTCATGTGTGCTTTAAGGAAGGGATTCCAACTCCTTTATTCTGCTTGTGAATATGGAGTTGTCCTAGCACCATTTGTTGAAAAGACTATTTCCCCCATTGAATTGTCTTGGCACGCTTTTGCATTAATGTTCCAGTTTATTTCTAGTTTCTCAATTCTGTTCCATTGATCTATATGTCTATCCTTATGCCAGTACTATATCATCTTTTAGTTAAGTTTGTAGTAAGTTTTAAAATGAGGAGGTGTGAGCCTTCCAATTTTGTTCTTCTTCAAGTTTGTCTTAGCTATTCTTAGTCCCTTAAATTTCCATATGAATTTTAGGACCAATTCAATTTTAAGATCAGGGCTATTTCTGTAAAACAACCAGTGAGAGCTTTAATAGAGTTTTCATTGAATTTGTAAATCAATTTGGAATGCATTACCATCATAACAATATTAAGTTTTCAAATTAATGAATAGGAGGTATCTGCCTATTTAGGTCTTCCTTTATTTATTTTGTAACTTTCAGAGTACAATACCCTGTTAAAGGTATTTTTAAGTATTTTATTTTTTATGTTCTTGTAAATGGAATTTTCTTAAGTCCATTTTTTTTATTATTCATTGTTAATATATAAAAATACTATTATTATTTTTTTTTGTACATTGATCTTGTACTGCAACCTTACTGGATTTGCTTATTGGTTCTAATAGTTTCTTAGTTGATTCCTTAGGATTTTCTGTGGGCAAGCGCTTGCTCATCTGAAAATATAGTTGTACTTCTTCCTTTCCAAACTGCATGCCTATAATTCCTTTTTTCTTGCCTAACTGCTCTGGCATCATGTTAAACAGAAGTGGCGAGAGTCTTGCTCTGGACTTTAGGAGGAATGTCCTTCAGTGAGGTCTGTGGGTGGTAAATCCAATCAGTGTTATTACATTTTTGTTCTTGAAAAATAGATCCATTAGAGAATTCTGGGTTAAAAACTATTTTATTTCAGCTATATAAATTTTAAGTATACTAAAAAATCATTCTGCTGTCTACTGGATTGAATCATCGCTCTTGAGGAGTCAGCCGTCTGCTTTAATGCTGTTCCATTAGAGGTGACTTGTCTCTCTGACTACTTTCATTCTCTTTCTCTTTCTCTCTCTCTCTCTTTCTCTCTCTCTCTCTCTCTCTCTCTCTCTCTCTCTCTCTCGCACACACACACACACACACACACACACACATACACTTAGTTCTGCTGGTTTACTGTAATGTGTATAGGTGTGGCTCTTTTAACTTTTAGCACTTAAGAATTATTGGGTTTTCTGCATATAAGCTTTGCTGTCTTTCCACAACTCGTGAAAATGTTATTATGATCTTCTCAAATATTTCCTCTTCCTTACACTCCTCTCCTTTCTGTCCAGTATCCTAATGAAACATGTTAGATGATCATACCTCTTTTCACTTGTCCTCTACATTCTCCAACTCTTTTCTCTTTGAGCTGCATTCAGAATAATTTCTGTAGCTCTAACTAATGTTTTACTAATTATGTCTTCAGCTTTATATAATCTCCTCTTTGCCGGGACCGGTTTGGCTCAGTGGATGGAGCGACAGCCTGCGGACTAAAAGGTCCCGAGTTCAATTCCAGACAGGGGCATGTACCTTGGTTGCAGGCACATCCTCAGTAGGGGGTGTGCAGGAGGCAGCTAATTGATGATTCTCTCTCATCGATGTTTCTAATTCTCTATCCCTCTCTCTTCCACTCTGTGAAAAATCAATAAAATTTATTTTAAAAAAAATATATATATATATGATCTCCTCTTTGGGTTTGAATTCTGCAATTTCAAGGGTTGTATTTTTCATTTCTAGAAGCTTGATCAATTTCCAAATCTATCTAGTTTGTTGGACTCTTGTTACTTGTTCACATTTTTAAAGTGAATTGAGGAGCTTCCTCTACAGCTTTATATTTGTCTCCATGGTGGCTTTTGACAATAATCATGTGCTATTTTTATAATAAAAACTTGGAGCGTTCATTGTGAAAGGCTGAGGTGGGGTTGGGTAGATGGGGAGTATGTTGAGAAGGTTTTTGGCATCATTCCTCACATTTAGTGGACCATGCACCCTCCCTACTCTATTTTGGTTTTGGTGGTAGTGGTGTGTGTAGGTGTATCTCAGAAGTGAACATCCCACAGGCAATCAAAATGGACCCAAGTTCCCCTCCCTGGGGCAGAGTGCTGATGGACCTGACCTCATTTAAGCCTCACACTGGCCCTCTGAGGCAGGTCTGATTATTAGCCTCATTTTAGAGAGGAGGCCCAGGTAGGTGCAGGCCCCTGCCCAGGGCCACCCAACTCATGAGTGGAAGAGCCTGTGTGAGCGTTTGGATCTGTCCAGCGTGGTCTCTGGGAGCAGAGCTGCTTCAGCTAGGCAGAGCAGCCTGTGGCTGGGGGGAGGCAGGGCGATCTGAGTATGCTAGCCTGGGGCCAAGGACCGTCAATGTCTGTCCCGGGGATGGCCCTTCCCCCACCCAGGATGTGTCATATTCTCAGGGGCAGCCAAGGGTGAAAGGTAAGTGGGGGGCCTGGGGAGGGGTGGGACCAGGGAGGGTGACGTCACCCCCACTCTTAGTAATGCTTTGGCAGAGCCTGAAGCTCCCACCTTAGGAGGGAGAGAGGAAGAAGGAGGGGCAGTGCTGGAGCCAACAGCTAGGAGGCTGCCAAGTCAGTGATCAGGAGCTGGCACTGTGCCAGGAGCACCCGGGACCCGGCCTCCTGGGGAGGGGCCTTCAGTAGAGGAGAGACACTTTCAGAGTCCTGGGAGGAGACTCTAGAAAGCAGTGTCCATATCGAATGGATGTGGATGATTGTCAGCGGTCTGTCTGTCTCTCTGTCTGTGTAACTAGCAAGTCTAGTGGCCAGCTGTCCCTTGATCGATGCCTGACTGTCTGGCGTCCTGATTTCTTCACTGCTTGTGTGCACTGTCTCATTTACGTGACTGACACTTGCAGATGTCAGCAGGGATGGCCAGCATCTCAGCCCTCTTCTGTGAGACCTTCCGCTAACCTCTCACAGGTGCCTGATGCTGCCCCTTCTGAACAACCAGGGTCAGGTGGCAGGCAGCAAGGGAGGAAATGAACATCTACAGGTGCCAGGGGCCCGGAGCCAGGGCCCAGAAGGACAAAGCTGGGTTGGGCAGGGCCTGCCTTTAAGGAACTAGATTCCTACCTGTGGTAACTGACTGGCACTGGTGCCTTGGATGAGCTGGCCTCATGGGCTGGGAGAGGAAAGCAACTTGATTCTTGTCCCCCGACATCTATTTCTGTCGCATTCACTGGAGCAGTGGTTCTCAATCTTTCTAATGCTGCGACCCTTTAATACAGCTTCTCATGTTGTGGTGACCCCCAACCATAAAATTATTTTCATTGCTACTTTATAACTGTAATTTTGCTAGTTAATGAATCGTAATGTAAATATCTGATATGCAGGATGTCTTAGGCGACCCCTGTGAAAGGGTCATTCAACTCCCAAAGGGGTCACGATCCACAGGTTGAGAACCACTGCTGTAGAGCCTAAGACCCCCAGAAAACACAGATATTTACATTACGATTCATAACAATAGCAAAATTGCAGTTATGAAGTAGCAACGAAAATAATTTTATGGTTGGGGGGTCACCACAACACGAGGAACTGTATTAAAGGGTTGCGGCATTAGCCGAAACCGGTTTGGCTCAGTGGTAGAGCATCGGCCTGCGGACTGAAAGGTCCCAGGTTCGATTCCGGTCAAGGGCATGTACATTGGTTGCGGGCACATCCCCGGTAGGGGGTGTGCAAGAGGCAGCTGGTCGATGTTTCTCTCTCATCGACGTTTCTAGCTCTCTATCCCTCTTTCCTCCTCTCTGAAAAAATCAATAAAATATATTTTAAAAAAATAAAAATAAAAAATAAAGGGTTGCGGCATTAGAAAGGTTGAGAACCACTGCACTGGAGGAAGCTCCTCCCCATGCCGAGGGGAGAACTAGGCAGCCCCACAGTGTTCTGATCTCCGTTTGGTGACAAAATGCTTAGGTTACTTTAAGTTGCAAACACGAGTCCGAGTAACCACGAGAAGCCCCTGGTCCCAGGTGGTAGTCTCTCACAACTGTGAACTTGATTTAGAATTAGTGCCCTACCCTGGCTCTCCTCTGCAGGCAGGGAGCTGAGGGGGGTTTGACCTTCCTCCACCCAGCACGTGTCCTTGCTCCTCGCCCCTAAGCCCTCATCCTGTTCTTCACCTGTAGGGCTCCTGACTGCATGCAGGAATGCTGTTGATTCTTCATAGGTTCTTAGAGCCCCTCATTCTCAAGGAGCCAGATCCTCCAGGTAGGCCCAGGAACCTAGATTTATAAGAAGAAGCTCCAATGATTGTTACATACAGTAAGCATGGGGCACTGCCAGCAGGACGTAGCCCAACTTCTTTTCTTATTTCATCTTATTTTATTCTGGCACCAAGAAAGGGATACTTTATATTCATTCATCCATCCATCCATCCACTCATCCATCCATCCATCCATCCATCCACTCATCCATCCATCCATCCATCCATCCATCCATCCATCCATCCACTCATCCATCCATCCATCCATCCACCCACCTACCCATTCATCCACTCATCCATCCATCCATCCATCCATCCATCCAAAAAATATGTATTAATTGCCTTTAATGTGTCAGGCATATTGTTCCAAGCTGGGGGCAGGGCAAGGAACAAGCCAGAAGCCTTCCCTGCCATCAAGGAACTTAGAATTCAGCCCAGAAGACCCAAACCCTAACCAGCAATTACAATTTTCTGCCAGGAGAGCCCCCATGGGGAGAACAGTGCCTGGAACCAGGCAGGAGAGCTTGCTCCCTCAGGCAGACTTTCCAAGCCTGCCCAGCTGCCAACTCATTTAGTCAGTGTGAGGGTGGGACCGGCAGTATGCCCACTTTTGTGAGGAGGAGCTAAAAGGTTAACTCACTTGCTGATGTTCACATAGCTCAGGAGGGCAGAGCTTGGATTTGAACCCATGGCCTATGTGTGCGGACAGGAGGCAGTGCTAGAGGAGAGAACCATGCAGGGGAGGGCATAGCAAAACCCTGATATCATTGGGGGCACGGTCAGGGAAAGCAGCCTGAAGGTTGATCCAAGGGGGAGCAAGGTTAGGCAGGAGAACAGAGGGATAATTTTTGCGGGGAGAGGAGGGCTAGAAGAGCAGGACTCCTTTCTGAGAGGTCAGAGCACTAGGGGAGTTTGGGGGCAGCTACTTACTCTAAGACACCAGGCAAACAAGTGTGGGAGACCCACCTGACAAGCAGCTAGTGAGTCTGGCAGGTGTGGTCCAGGCATTTGCAAGGAGGCCTGCAGCAGTGAGTCTGAGCCCCAGGGTTGGGAGCGGGGTGTGTGTGTGTGTGTGTGTGTGTGTGTGTGTGTGTGTGTGTGTGTGTATGTGCGTGCGCTAGATTTACATGCCCTGTAGCCACCCACTGACCAGCTATGTGACCCTGGGCAGTTAGAATAAAGATGACACTAAGAATTCTTAGATCTCCGTTTTGTTTGGGGGAATAATTAAGATAATGTGTGCAAAGTGCTGACAGGAAACTCTAGTTTTCAGTATCTGCTGGGACGTGGCTTTGAGCATCCTCTCCGACTGAAAGATGAGGAGACAGAGGGCCAGAGATGGAGAGTGACTGAGGTTCTCAGCTCCAGTGCAGGGGTTTGGGCAGGCTGTCCCGGAGGAGGGCTGCCATGTGTAGAATGAGGCCTCCCCCAGCCTCTCACCTGGGCATCATTGAGGCAGAGAGAAAATCAGCTCTTCGAGTCAGGGACCCCTTCCAGCACCCTCACTCCCCTTTCTTTCTCCTCTCAGCCTCCCAGGCCCAACATGCCACATACACAGGACCCAGGGGAAGTTTCAGAATCCCTTTTTAAAAAGCCACAGCTGTGAGTTCTCAACCTGTGGGTCGAGACAGGTTTGCCCAAGACCACATGAGGAACTGTATTAAAGGGTCTCGGCATTAGAAAGGTTGAGAACCACTGCTCTACAGCTTTATATTTGTCTCCATGGTGGCTTTTGACAGTAATCATGTGCTATTTTTATAATAAAAACACCAATATCATTTACAGTGATAGAGGAAGGCGAGGCCCTCCCTAAACTCAGCCAACCCTGGAACGAATTCTATCTTCAACACTGACTAGTTAGGTGGCCTCAGGTGGTCAGTTCCCCTCTCTGGGGCCTCAGTTTCCCCATCTGTAAAGAGAGGATGATCCCAACTACCTCGGTGTGCACTGGGTGACAGCCTGGCATGCAAGGAATCCAGGAAATGTCACCAAAGAAAGACCGCTGTGGAATTGGGCGCAGGCTCCCAATACATATCGGCTGATTAAATAGGAGGCGGCATTAAAAAAAAGTGAACGGTCCCGAAATCGCTGCCTTCGTCTTTCTCTCTTTAGAGGCACGGGCTGGGGTGAGAGAATGGCAGGGTGAGCTACGGCATAATTCTTGGGCAGAGAAGGCTGAGAACATTCTCAATGACGTCAGCCCCTGTGTGCAGAATATATTACACTCCCTCAAGCTCTCTCTGACATTGAGGCTGGTCTGGGAAGGAGATTCAGATCTGAGTCCAAGAAGACAGACTTTGGGTTCTAACCTTGGCTCGGCTGCTTCCTGTCAGGCAGCCTTAGAAGAGGCCCATGTCCCCTCCAAGCCTGTGTGTGTGTGTGTGTGTGTGTGTGTGTTTTATCTATAAAGTGAGGGTCTCAGTACCAATTCTCAGAGCTGCTGAGAGGAAGAAATGAGGTCATCTGTGTTGTATGAGGGCCTGGGCCTGGTGTATAGTAGGCCCTCTGCAGGTGATGCTATCATTATTCCTATCTGAGGTCATCATTGTATCAGTTAGCTACTGCCGTGTAATGGTTACCCCCAAATGTGGGGGCCTAAACAACCACCGTGGATTCAGCTCACAATTCTGTGTGTCCAAGAGAACCAAGAGGTTTGGCTGCTGGGATCCCAGGGTTGCTGTCACCCTGGACGCCGCAAGCTGGGCTCACCAGGTGTGTGACGCAGGGGCAGAAGCCAAGACCCCTGCACCGCTGTCAGCTGCCACTGCTTCCCCTTCCCACGCCCCCAGCATCCCGGGAGGCTGTTCTAGCCTCCCATCCTCCCCCGCCCTCTCCGCTGGCCCCTCTGCACGTCCAGCTGTTCCTGCCACCCCCACCCACCCCCGCATCCTGCAGGAAGCCCATTTCTGTCTGCAGAGGGTGCTGCTGGAAGCATCTCAGGGAACATTAGGGGGAGGGGTGACTGGCTTGGCTCTGGGTCTGGCATTGCTCCAGGCCAGAGGGCAGATGCTGGGGAAATGACTTCAGAGGGGTCGGCGGGGGTGGGGGGTGGGGGTGGGAGTGGGCTTCCCAGGTCAGGTGCCCTCTGGAGATCCATCCTACCTGGCTGTGCCTTCCCCAGGCACAGCCAGGTAGGATGGCCTGCCCGGTCCTGTCCAGGGGGTGGCAGCACTGAGGCAGGGATCCCATGGAGCAGGGGAGCGGTCCTGGGACTGGCTTCACTGGGAAGCAGCGAGGGAAGTACATTCCCTCACTTGCCCCACAGTAACCCTGGAGGAAGGAACTATGGTCCCATCTCAGCGATGACACTAGACAGGCGATGCCACTCTGCCAGCCGCTGTTTTGATTTCCTTTCATTTCGGCTGGGAAGGGGTTTACCGTGGGAATGGCTGATTGTGCAGTGTGGCTGGGGTGGGGGGCAGGGAGCTGAGTGATGGGCGCTTCCACCCTCTATCCTGTTTGTTCCACTCGGTGTTCATTATTCAGCTTCCTTCCACAGGATGCCAGAGGCCCGGGATGGGCCCCAGGGGTCCCCAGCAACACTCAGCATGGCCCGTGCTGTCGGGAGTTGGCAGCTGTGTTCATGCGTGTGCTGTGTGTGCATGTGTCGGTGGTACAGGTACATACAGAGGAGTGTGCAAGACTCCCCGCATTCACCAGAGCACAGCTGCCATGCAGCGTCTTCGCCACCGTGTACTCAAAACCTATGACACAGGCGCAGCCTGCCCTGGTGTGCTCAATGCACGGTCACTGCCAGGGAGCCACGGGAAGTATGGGGGTGGGATTCAGAAAGGACTGAGGCACAGACACAGGGATGAATCTCCCTGGGAGCCCCAGTTGTTCCCAGAACCCGGCCAAGCCCCAAAAGGTGGGGGGCAGGTGGGTGAGTATCACCTGAGGCTGCTGCTCTGATAACACAGACTGGCTTAAAGAAACAGGAGCACATGCTCTCCCGTCCTGGGGCCAGAATCTGAAATCTGGGTGATGGGGCTGTGGATCATCCTCCATCATCCTACTTCAGGGAAAGACCTGGGAGGTAAGGGTGGGGCTTTGGATCATCCTCCATCATCCTACTTCAGGGCTCAGCAAGCAGAGGAGTCCCTGAGCCAAGTTAACTGCACTTCCCACCAAAGAGCTCTTTTTGCTTTGGTCATGAAGGGCTATTGAGGTTCGTGAGTTGGAGGGTGGTTTGAATTCTAGATTCCAGCCAGCCACATTCTTCCTAGTAGCTAGGCCTGAGGAAGCCTTGGGGAAGGAGAGCCATATAATTGGCAATAGTTCCCTTTTTTGCTTTGACCGCTGGGGAAGCCCAGAGGCAAAATTAAATATGGGTTTTGCCCAACCCTGTATAGTTCGTCTAAACAACTGGAGCTCAAGGGTGGCGGCTGCTTTCGTTTTGCCATTCAACCTGGTTGACGGCTCGTGCTGAGCTGAGCAGGATTCTGAGGCGGCAGAGAGTGATGGCCTTAAGAATAGTTGGGAGCATCTAGGCTCAGAAGAGAACAGTGATCAATTAGTGATGTCTGCTGTGAGCGCTCCATCTCCCTTTGGGGTACATCTGTGGCTACATCGAATCAGGGCCTTAAGAATCTGAAGTACTGTGATGTAGTAACCACCTCCGAGGGCTGCTAACCATGCAGGTTCCTTGCCCCCGGCTCAGAATGGCTGCATCAGAATTCCTGGTCCCTGGAATCTGCATTTCGCCAGAGAAACCACAGACCTGGGCCTGGTGAGGGACCTGCAGTAACTGGAACAACTCTCCTAGGCTTGGGCAGCAGCGCCACCTGATGGATTCTTCTGGAATACTTCCCATCTGTTGCCCTTCCTGCCCTACTGTAGGGAAGCAAGTCCCTCCACCCCACCCCTCCGCCTCTTCCAGGGCCCCAAGAAGTTGGAGAGGAGGAGATGGTTGAGCAACACCATCTTTCCCGCTGACTTCCACACCCATCTCAGCGAGAGGGACCTGCCATGACATGCCTCACAGCGGCAGTGCAGGCTCATGCAGCCAGGCCTGGGGAGCGCTGGGTCTCCCTGTGAGTACAAGTAAGAGCTTCCTTCAAGGTCCACATTGCACTGTAAAAGCTCCTGAATGCTGCACGTCCTTTGCTATCACATTTCTTTAATACAAAAAATGCTTCCTACCTTTGTCAAAACCAGATGCTCAGACAGAGGCCAGGCTTGTCCTGCGGCCTCCCTGACCCCTCCCTCACCAGCCCACTTTCTATACCTTCTGGGGCCACCTGGTCTCAGAGGCAGGAACCTAGAGGTACAATCTACCCACCTGTTTCGATATACAAATCAAATTCCAGCCACACGGGCAGCCAGGCGGATGGACCAAGGCACGGGGCTGAAGAGGAGGCCAGAGGTGCCGAGAAAGGGCCCCTGCCCTGGGGACAGCAGTGGGTGCCACCACGCTTCCCTGCACACCCCGCCACTTCCCTCACACCCTCTCTCTCCCCTCTCGTCCTCCCGGGCCCGGGGCGCAGCATCCCTGAGTCAGACCAGATTCTTACAAATCCTCTTTAATGGTCAGTCTTCAGATATGCAGCGTGCTTTACAGAGTGGCGCACGGAGCCCTCCTCACCCTGCAAAGCACAGCCTCACCCACCCGCTCCCGGACGGCTCAGGTCCCGGCGAACAAGGGGCCGGCTCTGTGCCACACACACTTCGGGGACGCACCCCTTGGGTTCCCTAAGCAGCCCAGGGCCAGGCCAAGCCCCCTTCAGCCTGGCCCATCTCGGCCTTGCCCCCACGAGGTGGCCCGGCAGATCGGAGTTGCCTGGCTGGGGCGGGGTCGGGCCTGGGGAGGGGTGCCTTCCCTCACGTCGTTGAGCAAAGCCTACCCTTTCCCGCAGCCTTTAATGAAAATCGGAGAGCCAAGGTGTAAGCCTTATAGTGGAAAGACAGTTGACCCACGCGGTGGGTAGTCCCCTGACAGCCCAAGGTGCCTTATCTACCCCTCCCCCCGTTTTTAATACATGTTCCCCCTTACAATATATATATATATATATACACACATCCCCCGAGGCAGGTAGAAACCCAGCCACCTGCGCAGAAACGCCGCAGGGAGGGTTTTCGTTGAGTTGCTCAGAGAACCCTGGCGGGCAGCGAGCAGAGGAGCCACAGAGCAGCCGGGCTCCAGGCTGGAGGCAGAGAGGCAGGGAGGGGTCCGGGCCCCGGACAGCCCCTCACTCCCGGCAGCACAGGGCGGCGCACAGGTGCCTGAGCAGTGAGGAGGGCAGCGGGCCAGGAGGAAGGAGCCAGGGACGCCCTGGGAGCCCTGAGGTTGGGGGCTGGGCGGGGAGGCGGGGGCAGCAGCTGCCTCAGTACTTGGGGACCTTGCTGTAGTCCTCGGAGTGCACGTTCCGGCACAGGCAGATGGACAGGAGCATGCCCAGGAGCTGTGGAGGGAGAGGGCGGGAGTCAGCGGAGGTGGGCTACCCAGCCCCCAGAGGCCCCGGGGCAGCACCCCCCTGGCCGGCTCCACACACAGGGAGGAAGAGAACCCTCGTCCAACTGCACGGCTCAGTGATGGAGCGTGGACCTATGGACCAGGCCACGGCTCAATCCCCCCTCAGGGCACATGCCCGGACTCCAGGCTCTATCCCCAGAGTGAGACGTGCAGGAGGCGGCCTATCGATGATTCTCTCCCATCATTATATTTCTATCTCTCTCTCCCTCTCCCTTCCTCTCTGAAATCAATAAAAGATTGAGAGAGAGAGAGAGAGAGAGAGAGAGAGAGAGAGAGAGAGAGAGAGAGAGAGAGAGATTGATTCCTGAGATTCAGGTAGCAGAGGGCCGGGGGACAGTGCTCAGGCCAGGCTTGCCACAGTGTCCTCCCCCTCTCCCCCCACTCCCCCAGGACATCAACAGAGCAGGGACAACCCATGGGGACAGAGCATGGGGAGAGTTGCAGAGAGGGGACACGGACCTCAATGACAGCGACGCCCACACACACGCCTAAGATGGTGCCCAGGTTTTCCTGCAGCCACGACTGCACCGTCTTCATGCAGCCCTGCGAGGGAAGAACACAGCCACGTCACCCCATCAGGCAGCACCGCCGTGGCCACCCCAGCCTGGAGGGGCCTGTGTGTATCCTGAATAGATATACTAGTGAATAGGTGATGAAGGGACAGGTGACAGGCAGACAAATGGATCAAAGGCAGGAACAACTAAGTGGAGGAGGGGGAGAGGAAGGAGCGGGAGCCCAGCCCCTGGACCCCACCGCCCTCTGCGAACCTTCTGGTACACGGGCCACTGCTCCGGGTTGTTGTCGCCCTGGGTCCCGTTGCCACTCAGGGTCCCGTTGACGTCGGAAGCCTCGCAGAAGCCCTTCTTCACGAGTGGGCTGTCGTCCTCCCCCTTCTTCTCGCAGGAGCAGGGGTAGGTGACGGTGGTGCGGTTCATGAGGTCAGCGTTTTCGGTCCAGTTGTAAAAGTTGACCCAGCCGCAGCACTTGCCCTGGGCAGAGAGGGGACAGGATGCTCATGCCCATGCCCATCGGGCAGGCTGCCCTCCTGGCAGAGGTGGGGCCGCCTGGGAAGAGGCTCAGGTCTAGGTCTCCCTGGTCGGTCCCAGCCACACCTCCAGGACTTGAGTTGTCGAATTTAAGTTTTGCTTCAGCTTCTGTGAGCCACGAAGAATGTAAAGGGACTTTCGGGAAACACATACCATACACTGCTAAACAGTAGGAAGGAAAAAAATCAGGACATAACTAGCAAAACTAGGAAGCGGAACAGGAGGGAAGTTCAGGTTGAAAGGCAGAACACAGGGGTGGGGACAGTTAGGAGGGCAGATGGCACTCGGCTAAGGGTGTGGGGTCTGGAGTCAGGCTCCTGAGTTCAAATCCCAGCTCTGGCACCTACCAGCTGCTCAGCTTTGGTCAAAGTACTGACCTCAGTTTCCTCATCTGCAAAATGGGGTGATACGTTTTCTAACTCCCTGAGACTAGGACTAAACGGGATGAGGCAGGCGCAGCGCCCGGCACAGGTCTGGACAGCACAGTAATTGCTTAGGAAAGGCCAGTTCCACTGCCAGGGGCTGGGCCCTTGCCGGAAATGCCCCAGGAAAGCAGAGTGGGGCAGAGTGGGGGCAGGGCTCCTTTCAAATCCTGGCCCTGCCCTGTACATGGGCAAGCCGCTGCCTTTCTCTGGGCTGGACTCCTCCCCTGGAGAATGGGATGGCAGTAACCACTAGGCTAGGATCCCTGGGAGGACTACATGAGTTGCATGGGTGAGCTGGGTGCGCTGCAAGCCACGGTGCCCAGCACATGGTCAGTTGCTCACCTGCTTCCTTCCCATCTCAGTGATGAGTCCCTGCCAAGCAGCCTGGTCGCCAGCAGGGGGCGTGCCAAGCATCTCCATCTCAGGTATTCTGGGGCTTCGGGTTGTACTTTTTATGTTGCCTTTGCCTATCTGCCTTCTCTCGGAGATCCTCCCACAAAGGGGGGCGGCTTTCCTTGACCTTCCACTGCACCAGGCGGAGCCCTCCTCTCCAGCACCTCGTGCTGAGGTCCGAGCCCGGACACCACCCACCCTGTGTCTCAGTGGTTGTGCGTGGCGAATAAAACACCACGTAAGTGCTAAGTGCTGCCTCAGTGCCACGGGCTTTACAAGTTCACCCCACGAATGAAATTATGACTATCCAAATGGGTATGGACTCATAGCCCCGTTTTATAGGTGAGGAAACTGAGTCTCAGAGGTCTGGCCAGGAAGGGCCCAAGTTAGTATCCCAGTCGTCAGGAGCCTGACTCACAGTCTACGTTCTTGACCATCTTCCCAAGTGGTGCCTGGCAGACATCAGAATCACCCAGAGCCTTGCCAGCTACAGGGACCCCCCGACTGGCCAACTACCTTCCCCTGTGGATGTTCTTCAGCTCCCAAGGTCTCCCTGCTACCCCAGGCTCCTTGAAAGGTGGCACTTGTTCATCCTGGCACAGCCACTCCCTCCAACCTGAGCAAAGCACCTCAGGAATTGTGGGTCACACTAATGGTGTGATGACCACAGGCCCCTGTGTGCACTCAGCCCTCCAGGTGACCCAGGCCCTCCCGCCTGGCCTCACCAGGAAATCCGAGAGGCATTCAGGCCAGAAAACACCCTCCCCCTTCGCAGCTCAGAAGATCATGCCCACGTCTCCTGGGCAAAGTCCCTCCTCAGTCTCCAGATGCTCCTGCCAGTCGGTGCCAGTGGGTCCTACATGATTGCTGTGTCCAGTGTCCTCCGGAGAGAGGAGGAGGCTGCTGCCCAGAGGAGGGGTCCTGGCCAAGGGCACATGAGAGAGGAGGCTGCTGGGACCTGATCACTGAGCTGATGTGTATGTGATGATGGCTCACCACCAGGGCAGCTGGGAGCCTGGTCAGATGACCATTCATTCATTCATTCAGTCAGTCAACCAGTTATTTATGCAGTCAATCAGTTATTCCATCATTCATTCATTCAGTCAGTCAATCAGCCATTTTTTCAGTCAGTCAGTTATTCCATCAGTCATTCAGTCAGCGTGCCACGTAGTCCTTCATTCTGTTAGTCAGTCACTTGGTCTCCGCCTTTCCCACTTTAATTGAGGTGGAATACACATACGCTAGTATACACAAATTCAATCTGTGAGTTTTATCTGCGTGCCGGCAGAACCACCTGGATCAATGACTAGAATATCCTCTTACCCCAGAAGTCCCCACGGGCTCCTCCCTAGAGGTAGCCTCCATTCAGACATGGCGCCCCATTTCTTAACCTCCAGGGTAGAGCTCCCAACACTGGCCAGCCTGGCTTGTGGTGAGAGGGCCAAGAGTTGACCCCTGCCCTCTGGCCACAGGCGGGAGCACTGTGAGCTATGGGACAGCCTCCAAGACCTGGGGCCCCTGAGCAAGGAGCTGTGCTAGTGGCTGAGGTGCCAGAAGGCCCCCTCCCACCCTCACCCCCGCATCAGATACACACTCAAACTCGCTAGCTAACCTATTCTGCCAGGTGCATACAGGCACACGGACGTCCAGACCCAGACACAAAGGAACCCACAGGCCCGGAACCTCACGCTGGCCACCCCTCCCCATGCAGCTTACCTGTGCCTGCACGTAGTCCCAGCCCTGCTGCAGGCTGTCCTCCTGCCCGTCCTTGTAGTCCCGGATGAGCTTGGTCACGATGCTGCCCATCTCCTGCTTCACCTGCGGAGAGGAGAGCTGGGGTCAGGTCTGATTTCTGGAAACCCATGCCCACCTCTGGTCACATCGACTTAAACCGAGCCCAGGGACATGCTCACGGGGCCACAGAACTTCATTGTCCATTCCAACCACTCTCCTGGCACTTCCCATTGGTCACCACGCTATGCCCAGTGCAGCTAGGACCACTCCTGCCCTGCAGTCTATTCGGCACTCGGCAGCCGCAGGGCCCTTTAAATGTGAATCTTTCCATGTCACTGCTAAAAACCACCCCCAGTCGCTCCCTGCAGCTCTTGGGACAAATGCCAACATTTTCTCAATGCCTACAGGGCCCTGCCTCTTCTGTCCCCTGATCTCAGCAAACCTGGTTCCTTCTGTTCTTGTCCCCTCTGCTTCCATTCCACTGGTCTCCTAGCAGTCTCTGTGCTAGGCTCTCTCTCCTGCCTCAGGGCCTTTGCACTTGCTGTCTCTCTGCCTGGAATCCTCTTCCCCCAAACATCAGCATGACTCTCTTTACGTCCTTCAGGGCTCTGCCCAGACGTCACCTCTTCAGACAGGCCTTCCTGGACCACCCTACAGGATAGCGTCCCTCCCCTCCCCACACCCTCCCAGCCCTCTTTGTCTTGTATTTTCTCCATAACATCGTCATGACGTGATCATTTGTTTCCAGGATTTATCAGCCCCACTTCTCCCCACTGAGAACGTCAGCTCTGTGGGAGCAGGAATTGTGTCTGTGAGCCCGGCCAGAGTAGGTGTGCTGCGTCCACAATAAGGAACATGTGCAGAACCGCTGCTATCTGCACGCACCCCAAAGTCCTCATGCACTCACCCACAGTCCTCGTAACCACCTCTATCTGCACGCACCCGCTGTCCTCATGCATGCAACCTGTCTACCTTCACGCCTGCCCTGGGCCCCACAGAATCCACATCCTGGCAGTGCTGGTTGCCATGCTCAGGAATTCAGAGGCCCACAGTGAAGAAGAGAAAAGCACACCCGCTTTTCACTAAACGCACAGAGAAGCACTGATTTACAAATAAGGCAGATGAGGAGTGCAGGATCAAAAGAATTCACCCCAAAGGCCTCTCACAGGGATCCTGAACCGAGAACCTCACTACAGCAGCTTTTCAGGAACGAGGCAGCTGAGCGAAGGGAAGCAAAGAGAAGCCAGCCCAGACGGCTGAGCACAGGACTTTCCCCAGTGACTAGAACGGCCCCATGTGGGACGGGGCCCCGGAGCCAGCCCTGGCCTGGCCCTACCGGGCCTCTCCCGTGGACCTTGCCAAGGCCCGGCTCAGCATGCACAGGCAAGGGGCCCCGAGGACAGCCGCACAACTGCCCGTCAGTCCCTGAGAAAAGGGGGTGAGGGAGCGGGGACAGGTGCTTCCAGGCAGGGGCTTTCACAGCCTGGCTCCGAATCCTGCGCGTGGGACTTCCGCCAGCGCCCCGCAGGCAGCCTCGCCTGCTGTGTTCAGAGAAACCACATCCTCCGGATGGACCTGCGGCCTGGCTCCTGGGCCTCCTTCACGAACCTGGGGAAACCAGCCCGAGGGACTCGCTCTGCCCCCTCCCTCTCGGTAAAACGCTTTGCATGTCGCGTCTTGCTTACTCCCCAGAGCTCGCTATAGTTCACCACGCTTTCCGGTCAGTAACAACAAGCCCCATGGCTAACGTGGACCAAAGGCTTGCTTTGCACCAGTACTGAGCTAAGCACTTTTTGTGCGGCATCTCACTTCAATCCACAGAGCAGACCTGTGATCTGGGTACTAACCTTGCTCCCTATTTTAGAGATGCAGAAAAGGAGGCTCAGAGAGGTTCGTTAACTTGCTCAAAGTCACACAGCCAACAAGTACAAAAGCTGAGGTTTGAACTGATTAAAAATCCCAAGCTTTTTCCCATTCGGCTCTCCTGGCATTTTAACCACATGGCTATTCCTTGAAGTGGCTCATAGCACAATTAAGAAGGGCCCAGAGAAGCCCAGTGGTTGGCCTCTGCCACATAGCTGGGGCTGTCCACCTGCAGATCTTCTATCTTTCTGCCCCTACCATCTCTGTTCCCCACCTCTGCCCCACGGAACGGGTTATCTCTGGGGTGTGGAAAGAAGGGGGTTCCCCAGAGGCATTTGTTTGGAGAGCCACCTCTCCCACATCCTCTCATGGCCTTCCCCCACTGGCCCAGGCTCTATTTACACCCCAGTGTGGTTGCCACAGCGGCCTGGACTTCCCTGTTTCAGGCCCTCCTGAAACGAGAAGGTGGTGGGAACTGCGTGCTTTCCACTGACACGGGGTGGTTTCCGTGGAAACACCACATCATCCTCCAGCCCAGAAGGTGGCTGAAGGCCACGGCCGAGCCACAGGGCCCACGGCTGCAGGGGCTGGTTCAGCTGGCAGCTGATGTCTGGGGATCCCAATCCCAAGGCTGTGTTGGGAGCCCAGGGAGGTCACCCTGGCAACCAGGCGGCTCCTGAGACAAGGAGGGGCAGGGAGATAGAGTGAGAGGATGCTCACCATCTCGCTTCGCCTCCACAGGCTGCCTCTGGTTCCTGACTGCCCTGCACCCATTCTCCCTGTGAAATAACAGCTCCTTTCCTTAAGGGGCAGCACCCCTCAATGTGCCTGGCAGGCCTCCTCCCTCCCCACCCCCGCCCCCCCACCTTGGGGAGAGAGAAGGAAGGAGCACAACTCTGCTGACCACACTCTCTGAGGACGCCAGGGCAGTTGGCTCAGACAGTGTCCTGACCCCTCACCTCCGGCTCCCACTCAGACCATGTGAGCCCCTCCCCTGTCAAGCTCTCATCCCCCAGGCCTTCTCCTGAGCCCTTGATATAACAACGGCATCGGTGCAGGCTGCTGGGCAGGTCGGAAGTGTGCCCTGCGTGAGTGCAGTCAGCCTGATGCCCAACACGTCATAGGCGGCACTATCAGCCCACTTCCTTCCTCCTGACCTCCCACCCTCCACTGCCTGCAGGGAACACGTCAGAACCCCAGACTGTCAGGTCCCCGGAGGCTCAGAGAGGCTGGGGAACCTGTCTAAACACACACAGCAACCAGTGGCAGAGCCCACCCTACCACCCAGGATCCCAGGATCCCAGACCTGCCCTTTGCCCACTCAATGGAGGCTGGATAAACAGTCAGGCGAGGAAGCAGCCAGGGGAATCTCAACCCCGCACTTCCGGTACCACAGTCCTTGCTGATATTAATATGGATACCAACCACAGGAACAGCTGTCATTTATTGATCCCTTACTAGGCATCAATGAAGTTAATAATGGTGACAGCAGCAATAACACTTGCAATGATGCCAGCAAACATCTGCTCAGGGCCAGCACCACACGGAGCCCCTCCCCCATGTCAGCGCCCTTCACCTTCGTCATGGCCTAGAAGGTGGCTCTTGGGGCCCATGTGCTCCGGCATTGAGACCCTCCCAAGTCTCACAGAGGGATCAGGCTGTGTCACACCCCAAAGTCTCTCCCATTCCCATTTCCTGGGGGACACCTGAATGGGGTACACAAAGGCCACAAAGAACCCCGCTTCGGTTCAGGTCCATTGTGCCACCAAATGAGCTGCAATTTTTTTTTTTTTTTTTTTTTTCCGGGGGGAGAGCGATTTCAAAATGGTTTGGGGTTTTAGAATTGCAGACAATTGCTTATTGCCATTTGACACACAAGGCAACCGAGGCCCAGAGAGGCTAAGTAAAGCGCAGAGGTTCCAACATGGGTGGTGACTCTGGAGTCAGACTGGGCCACCTCTCTGTGTTTTACAAACGCGTTGCAGTCGGTGCACCTGGGCAGGGGTGGGTGTGAGGGTGGGGACCAGGCAGGTTTATTCCTGATTTATAATCGAGGAACCCAAGGCCGGAGAGCCCACATGACTTGTCCAAGGACCCAGCTGCCCTCGGCTCTGCCCTGGAAACGAGAGGCAGGAAAGACAGATGGCAGTCCAGGGCTCCTTCCCTCTCACCTGCCCAGGGGGCCTGGAGAGGGGGGAGAAGCCCCCTGCCATGGAACAGGCCTTTCCTTCAGCCTCCCCCAGACCCCCCCCCCGCCCTCAGCTGGGCCTCATCTGCAGGAATAAACACCATCAAGGGCATGTTTAGTCTTTAGCTGGGATTTACAATGTGTTGGGAAAGAAAAAATAAATCATTCATTCCAACTTGGGCGATAGGGTGGCGCCAGAACTTCCCCAGAAAAGCCAGAAAATTTCCCTTGCCTTCCAGAGAGGAGGTGGGTCGAGGGGAGGGGGCTGGGACCAGGAGAGAGGGGCATCGAGCCTGGGAGTGGTGGTGAAGGAGGCAAAGAAGGGGACAGATTGGGGGGGAGGGGGCAATGGTAAGATATGTACACATATAATAGCTTAATAAAAAAGAAAAAAAAGAAGGGGACAGAGTCTAGCCTGGAGTCAGGAGGGGCGATCTTCCCCCCCAGCCCTGCTCTGGAACTGGGGACACCTCGGAGGTGTAGCTCCTGGGCATCAGCCAAGCAGAGAGACTGTACCATCCTGTGGGCAGGCGGCATGGTGCAGGGGGAGGCGTGGGCCTCGAGGCACAGGAAGTGGAGGGAAATCTCCACTCTGACACCTCCAACCTGCGGGTGCCTGGACCAAAAGTCACTTTGCTTTTCTGGGCCTCAGTTTCCTAAGGTGGAAAATGCTTGCAAAACTGTGACGTGTGTCAAGTTATGAAGGCAGCTCCTGGTGTGTGGTTGGTGCCCGCAGATGGGCACCACCGTTATGACTGAGAAATGGGGAAACACACAGGGGTGAGAAGGTGGACTGCCCTGACACCCTGCAGAGCTGACTAGCTTCTGAGTCATAGGAACCACCTCCTGGTAGCCCAGTTCTGATCTAACCTGATGATAATATGTGGCTGACTGAATCCCAGAAAAGCCCCAGGGACTGATCCTAAAACTCTGTCCCTGGAAAAGGACAGTCCCTGCCCTAAGCATTTGCTTCCTGGATGATGGCCAAACAAGCTTCCTTTCATCTATGGAGACTCTTTCCCTTTTTTGCCTTGACTGCCAGGAAGCTCAGTGTCCCAGTCAGCCCTCAGTGACATGAGAACCTTATCCCATGGCTTCAGGAACAGTGGTCTCCCCCCCCCCTCTCTCTCTCTCTTTCTCTCTTTCTCAGTGTGCATTCTGATCTCTCCTGTGTGGTTTTCGGTAGGAAGTCAGGGCCAGTACTCCTGGGAAGCAGGCTGGGTGTGGATTGTAAATATTATAAGTAAAGCAGATTCACATAGGAACCACCGCAGGGAAAAACTTCACCCACGGGGACCCAGAAGCCAGGTTGTTGGGGTTTGAATCTCGGCTCTGCCATTTACTAGCTGTGTGACTTTTGGCCAAGTTGCTTCACCTCTCTGTGCCTCAGCCTCCATATGTGAACATGAGGGTTTTCCCATCTATGATCCCAGGGAATTTCTGTGAGGATCGGATATTAAATGCAGCAAGTGAACACAGCATGCAGTTCCAGGCATGTTCTAGTGCTACCTGTGGATGGTGTCATGTTTTCTCAGCTTCCTTCTGAGAGGGAGTGGAGGTAACTTGACCTTCCAATGGTAAGATGCAGGAGCCCACGTGGCTGCCGGCTCTGCACCTGCTCAGTGAACCAGAACTGTAGCCCTGGAGGAAGGCAGGCCCCGGCCCGGCTGGGCCCCCTCAACTCCTCCTGCAGCCCGGGAGCCTGAGCTCTCCCTGCTCTGGCCATTGACCTGCTGGGTGCCCTATGCCCTCACCTGTAGGATGGGATTCTCACACTTGGGAGAGCGTGGTGGAGATCAGTGAAAGAATGAATGCAAAGTGGCCAACACGGGCCCAGCATTGGTTTGCGCTGACCCAATGGAGGGATGGTGGAGGCCACGGTGACTACTGCTGATGTTGCTCCTGCTATTCGTCTCTCTGAGCATCTGCTTCCCTGTCTGACAACGCAACACTTATGGTAACAGAGCTGCTGTGAGGAGACACTGTGTGTGTAAAGCTTCTAGAAGTTACCATGTGCACACAGTAGGTGTTCCTTAAGTAATGGTGATCACTACCATTGGCTGGCTCACCCAGCAGCCACTCCTGGCTCCTTGTGTACCTATCTTTGGGGTCAGAAAGCCCAATATACTCTTAGCCACCCTGAAAGCCAGGCTGCCTTGGTAACGCAGTCTGGGGCACATTTTTAGGGGCCTCGTTCTTCTTCCCTGGATCTGGTCACAGCAGCACAAGATGGGGCCAGGGCAGCCACATTGGGACCACAAGGCGAGTGGCATGCTGTGGAAAAGCCGTCACGATGAGGATGCTGAAGAGACAGCCAGGACCACGGTCCCTGAGCTTCCACACGTGACTGCTGGCTACGTCCACCGGCGCCCTTAGAGCTGAAGCCCGGTAAGTCTCAAGCTCTTTCTTCCTCAAAGCTGCGCACCTCCCCTCTGACGCGGGGCCGGTGCTTTTACGGACAGTCTCCTCCCCGGGCCTCCTCTGTGGGGTCATGGGTTTCACAGTTGCTAAGGAGCCTTCACATCAATGGAAACGTTTATGGAGTCCTTACCACACCAAGCACTCACATAACTTACTGAACCCTCCCAGCAACCCAAAGCGTTAGATTTCATTCTTGTCCCCCCGTTTACAGAGGGTGAAACGAGCAGCGAGAGGCAGGCAAGCGGCTTGCGCACAGAGGCTAAGGCCTAGAACGAGGTGGGGCGGAGGAGGGTCCTGGCCCAAGAGGGACTCTGCCCACAGACCCCGCCTTCCAGGCTAAGGGTCCGAGGGTGTAACCACAGGGAGGCTGCCTGCACCCACTGGGATCTTCTGGGCCAGCTGAGGCTCCTAGTCTACCCCAACCCCCGGGCCTACCCCCCTCCCTCACACACACACACACACACACACACACACACACACACACACGGCCGTCCGATGCTGGCTGGGGACGGAGGGAGGGGTGCGTACCTTGTCCATGTTGAAATAGAAGAGGACGCCGGCAGCCACCTGGGCGATGAGGATCAGGAGGAGGAAGGCGAAGTACTGGGGACACAGAGCAGGCAGGTTAGCTAGGACCTGGTCCCCCCCTCAGGAGCTCCCCACCCAGGCCGGGCCTGGTGGGCTCAGGACAGGGCAGGCGGAAGGGGTGCACTCACCAGCCCCAGCAGGCAGCGGACCTCGTTCACCGCGCCCACGCAGCCCAGGAAGCCCATGATCATGGTGACGGCCCCCACGCCGATGAAGATGTAGGCGCCCACGTTGAGCGACGGGGAGGAAGCCTCTGGGGGATGGAAAGGAGGGTGTCGCATCAGCCTGGATGTCTTGCTCTCAGGAAGTACAGAATCAGGGGCAGGGCCCAGAGGTCGGGGTGCTGGGTCAGCTTCCCAGCAAGGAACCTGCTCCTCGCCCCCTCGGGAAGCTGCCTGGATGTGCCTCCCCCCCGTCTATCCTCGCCACCATCCCTGCTTTGCTCGATCTCCTCAGCACCGTCCAGGAGCGAGGAGACGACCTTTAACTAATCTCTCTTGCTCCTTCCAGTCTGCCGTCCCACGAGGATGAGAGCTGCTGGAGGGCGGGGACTCGGTTGGCTCCTGCTGAACCCACAGATACCAAGCCGTGTCTGGCACAGCAAAAGGATGGGTGGACAGCTGCTGGATTAACGAACCACGGACTGGCAGGTCCTGATGGGGCGACAGACACCGCTGCCTGCCTGCCTCCTCATCCATAAACAAACACCAGCCTCTCCTGCCCACGCCCTGTGCCTCCGGGGCTTCGCGCAGGCCACCTCCAACTCTGACCTAACTCGGCACAGCCACTTCCAGCTGAGGGAACGGAGGCTCAGTTGGGATCTCAGCCCCGGGCCTGGCTGAGAGCGGCACCAGCACACAACAGACTGGGGTTTGGAAACGTGCGGACTTCCGAGGCCGCTCTTTCCACCAGTGCCCGGGGCACGTGTCCTGGCACAGGTGTGGCGTTCGTTCATTCATTCAAATGTTGGCCAGGTGCTCACCACCTGCCAGACACTGTGCTGGCTGCTGGGGATGCAGAGTCAGACGGCAGAGGTTCCCAATCCCAGGAGCTAACATTATGTGGGACGGGGAGGGGGGGGGGGGGGGAGAGACAACAAGAAAACAATATAATCTGGCTGCATAAAGGGCCATGGAGGTGCTAAGCCGGGTAAAGCAGAGAACCATGGAGCAGGGAGTGGGTTGCAGGGTGGGGAAGGCTGGACTGAGCAGGTGACATCGGAGCTGAGACCGGAAAGGAGAGGTCAGTCGAGTGAAGACCTCAAATGAGGAGCAAAGCATTCCAGGCAGAGGGAACAGCAGGTGCAAAGGCCTGAGGAAGGAGTAAGCTTGATGTATTTGAAGAATGGAAAGAAGTGGAGAAAGAATGGACCAGCATGAGTGACAGGGCAGTGTGACAGGCAATGGCAAGAGTCCCTCCCCAGGGCCATGGGCAGACAGAGCCCGCCCCTGTGAGTGGAGATGGGCAGTTCTGTGCAGGCATAGGACCGGCATTTCCCAAGAAGCCCAACAGGTCACCCAGGGCAGAGCGCATGTCCACCTCTGGCCTGTAGGCGTGGGGTACCCACTAGCCTGAGGCTGGGACACACCAGGAGGCCAGGGCAAATGTGCCCCCACAGGCAGGGGCTGAGGGCTCACTCCCAGGAGGCAGCCGGGAGCAGAGGCTGGAGACCACACTAGCGATCGGAGGAACTTCCTAGGGATATGAATTCGGATTTCTGGGTGCAGCACAAGACTGCTGGAGTCTGCATGTTCGATGTGCTTCCACAGGGTGGGGGCACCGTCGGGGCTGGCCCAGGGAGAACACAGTCCTGCCCCTGGGGGGCCTGAGAGGCCACCGAGGGGCTTAGCGCTCTTAAGGAATAACCACACCCCTGGAGTGTGGGTGGGAGGAGGGCCTGATCCAGCTCCACTTCCTGGTGGCAGACAGAATGTTCTGGAACTCAGGAAGAGCCTGGCCCACCCACCCCACTCTCAGGGTGCCAGGGCAGGGCTGCCTCTGTCTGGCTCCGCACAGGTCCTGCTGGGTGAGGGTGGGGCTTCCTTTGGTTCCAGGCCCTCACCGCCCTGGCCCTGGGCAATCTCCATGAGCAGCAGGAGCCCACAGATCTCACTTTTCCTGCACTTCCTGGGCTTGGGTTCCGGCAGATCCTCCCAGCCACGGCTCCTGGAACAAAGGAGCTGGCGCTGATGGTGTGGGCAGCCCCAGCAAGGCCCTTTATCCATCGTCCTGCTTCACTTCCTCCACAGCCCGCGGGGGTGGGCTCACATCCTGATTGATCCCTACGTGCCCGTGCCCGAGGCCCAGAGAGGCTGAGAGGCAGCAGGCCAAGGTGGCCAGGCCCAGGGCTGAGATCCAACTCAGGCTCCGCCCCTGGGAGGCAGAAGAGCCTCGGGGTCCTGGTTTCTCAGGACATTTCGTCAAGACCAGTTCCTCTCCTCACCCAGGCCTCAGGCCGGCCCCTATCTGAGCCGCTGGCTGAGGAGGGGACCCGTGACTATTCCAGGGAGACCCATCCGCTGGGTGGCAGAAACACCTTGATCTTTCTGGGCCAAGCAAGTACCAGCGAGGGCGAGGGATGTGGCCAAACCGAAAGGGACCACAAGGAGGAAGCTCTAATCCCAGCTCTGCTGCCCACAGCGTCGGGGCACTTGGCTGGCACTTCCCTGATGGAGCGGGTCCTTATGGAATCGCATCAGAAATGCAGACACCAGGCTGTCCGGTCTGCACCCATTTCCCTGACCTCTATTTCTTTCTCTGTGAAAGGGAACAAAGTCCTGCCTCCTAAGAATCCTATAAGGATTAGATGGCATTACTAATGCTATTCTTTAACAATTACAATTATTAGAAATAATGTAATAATTGTTATAAATATTAATCTTTACCAAACACTTAGATTTCTGAACTCTTTTTGAATATGAACTCATTTACCTTCTCACAATCACCTAACGAGGTACATTCTATTGCTTCTGTTTTACAGACAAAGAGGCACAGAGAGGTGAGGTCATGTCCCTGGGACGACCCCAGAGCTCACAGGCAGCAGAGCAGGGATGGGAACCAGCGGAGCCTGTATCCGGAACCTGCACTCTTACCCCTGAGCTTGCTCCCGCTCACTGTGTGAGCCCTGTGATCCCGTGGCGTCCGCAGAACTTTGGGGGTTCGGAAGTGGGGGGGCTCGGGAGCCGTGCCACCTGGGCTTACGTCCTGGCTCTCCCCCTTCTGGCCGTGTGCCCTCAGATAAGTTACTGCCCTCCCTGGGCTCAGCGTCCTCCACTGTGAAACGTGGGTAGTAATGTGGGGAGGATTCGATGAGGATTCACACAGCCTGCACATAGTAGGGCAGGAGCCCTGGGTTCCCAGCTCCCTATCCTTGCTTGCGATGTGACTTTGCAAGTCGTTTTTCCCCTTACCAAGCTTCACTCCCCTGGCTGCCTGGGGAACCACCCGGGGAGCTTTGTAAAAAACCACGGTGCTCCAGGCCCCACTCACACCCTCGGGGCGGCTCCAGGCCTGGCATTGGTAAGACACACAGTGTGCATCCAGGGGCCTCTGAAGTCTGGCCAGCTTGAGATTCTCAGACTTGAACAGGGAGGAAGCAGGAGGCGGTGGAGGGGAGGAGTAGCGGGCAGTCCCTGGAGCCCCGGGGCGGGGTGCAGAGGGCAGAAAGGCGGTGGGTGGGCTGGGCCTCAGGACTCTGCCCTGTGGCACGGTGCCTACTGGGTGTGGGCCATGGCCCAGGAAGTAGTGAGCCTGGGCTTAGTCAAGGACAAGGAGGATAGGTCCCCTCTTGGGAGGGCACGGGAGTGTGAGCACCCGGCTGAGACAGGAAACCAGGACCCTCCCCCCAGAATAGGGGAACAATCCGCTGCCCCCCAGGAGGAGGAAAGACTGACAGCCCCAGGTCGCATCTGATGTGGCTGGAGGGGCGAGGGCCTAGCCCCCTGGGGCCACGGTGACAGGTGTGCCCCTCCATCACCCATCCCAGCCCGGTTCTGCTTTATTCAAATCGAGCAGCTGTCGTGGGCCCGAGTCCCACGACAATCCTGCTACCTCCGCAGCTGCCGGGAGGGGAAGTGAGCCAAGGACGACACACTCGCCGATGGGAGTGGCATCACTGGGCTACTTGGGGCCATGTGCTCGGCTTCCCGCTCACCACGGGCGTCCAGGAGAGGTCAGTGCAGCAAGCCTGGTGGGCTTCCTGGAGGAGGCTGCGAGGAGACTGGGGATGGCTCTTATCGTGTTGGGCGTCTTTCTTCCTGCTTCTACATAGTGGGAGGAGGGCCTTCTGTGTTGTGGCTCTCTCTCACCCTGTGCAGCATTTAGGACCAAAGCGCTCTCTGAGCTCACGCCCGCACCTGTCCGTCATAAGCTGGGTGAACCTGAGCAAGGGGCGGGAGTCCTTCGGACCTCATTTCTTCCTTTGTGAGGCAGGGAGAGCGCAGTTCCCACCTCGCAGAGCTGTTGTGGGATGAAGACAATAGATGTATGCAACGTGCTTAGACCTGTGAGCACGAACAACAGAAGTGGTATCTGGTGCCTTCCTCCTCAGTGCACGTGCCCACTTGGGCAGTGCCAGGCATATGGCAGGCACCTCATCAGCACCCGACAAACTGCCACTCCTGGCTTTCCTCCGTCTCTCTGAGCTGGGAAGGGGCAGGATGGCTGCCCACACATTGCTGAACGGCCAATGGAGGCTTTCTCAGGTCAGGGCGGAGGGAAGGGGCCAGGATGGGAGAACAAGCCTCCCCACCCCGCAGTGTTCTCCAGACAACAGCGCTTTGTCTGGGGAGGGAGAGAAAATTCCTCCCGGAACCCCCGCAGCAGCAGTCCGCGGCCGGGCTGGGCAGGGCCAGAGGTCAGCTGGGAAAGTGACAGCGGCCTTGGAGCTGGAGTCCTTGAGGGCCAGCCCTGCCTGCGCCCGGCCCTCCCCTCAGGGCTGGCAGGGCAGGGGAGGGAAGCAGGGATCCTTACGCAGGACAGAGATGAAACTGCTCCTGTCGGCCAGGATCCACACCCCGAAGCCCAGGATTACTCCGCCCAGGATCTGGAGGAAGAAAATGGGGGGGGGGGGGAGGTTAACAGGGGGACTGAGAGTAGGTAGGGAAGAGAACCCTGCCCAGCTGTCCCTGCAGCCCAGGCCAAGGAGATCCAGGGGAGCCACCACCATCCTTGCCCAACCCAGGATGTCAAAGTGGCCTCAGGCCCCGAACCCCAAGCCTCAGTGAACCCCAGCAATCCAAACAGCAGGACCATGTGTCACTGAAGACCAGAGCTGGGATCCTGAGGAAGGCGAACGGGGCATTTGCTTCAGGTGTTAAAAATTAAGGAGATGCCAAAAGACTCACCAAGATAAACAAGAGTTTACAGCAACTATTTAAAAAAACAAAATTAATGCAAAAAAAAAAAAATCCACGATGAACAAAATGACTTCTAAATAAAAACTGTCTCTGTATTACTGATTTTTCCCTTTAAAAAAATATAATACTTCTATTGATTTTTAGAAAGAGAAAGGGAGAGAGGAAGAGAGACATTGATGTGAGAGAGAAAAATCCATCAGCTTCCTCCTTTTGCAATGCCCTACCAGGGATTGAGTCAGCAACCCGGGCACGTGCCCTGACCTGCTGGAATCGAACCAGCAACCTTTCGGTGCATGGGACGATGCCCAACGAACTGAGCCACACCAGCCAGGGCCGATTTTTCCTTTTAACAAGGAGTGGGGGTGCCTCAGACTGCACAGCTTACTAGGAGGAAGGAGACGGGCTTTACAGACCCTGGCAATTAGGTTCCCAGAGACTCCTGAATCCCAGCCCTCCCCACACCAAACCTCGCAGCACAGCTGGGCAAGCACCCCAGTGAGGCCCAAGATCTGTTCCTGTCACCTCAAACGCATAAGGATGAGGGAGTCCCAGTCTCACCCACCTCTGAGCCTGTGCTCAGAGGGCAGGGCAGGGTGGGGAGAGCCACCCTCCAAAGAGGGATGAGAGGCAGGGCAGAACATTCCCTCTGGGCAAATATAAATCCCGGGCTGCCCAGCTAAACTCCTCGCTCTCCTGGAGAAACCCAAGGGAAGTGCCCTGTCCGTTCCTCTGCAGGTAGGTCCCATGACTGCAGCCTGACAGGCAGGTATGGCAGGTCAGCCACCAGGTCATGCTGCAGCCAGAAAGGAGGCCGGGCCAGGAGGCTGACCAGAATGGGGGAGGCACCATGTACCCCCTTTCTCTGAGAACCAAGACTGGGGCCCAGGACACACCCCACAGTAACCCGTTCCCCCCTCCCCCAGCCTTGCCAGAATCTCCCCCCCCCCTCCCCTGGCCAGGGCTCTCCAGGAGCTGGGGTCCAGACAATCAGCATTCTTCCCCAGAAGCCCGCACCAGCAGCCTCAGGGCTCTCTGACATCAGAACAACTGACGGGACAACGATGAGGAGTCTGGGGTCAGGAGGGTGTAGGCAAAAATGTACACGTGTACACGTGTGCATGTGAGCCTGCACGGCAGCCAGAACGATATTTCCAGACCGCAAGTCCAATCACGTAACTGCTTCCCACTGCGCATAACACAGAGATTAGGATCGCTCCCGGAAGCCCGCGGGTGAGGCCTGGGGAGGCAGCCTCTGTCCCCTTCCCCGCTGGCCTCGGTCCCTGCAGCAGCTGCCCTCTTTCCTGGCCACACGGAACTCCGGGAAGCTCTGCTGACGGCCCGGCTGAGGTCACGTGCCTCATCTGCTCTCCTAGGGCGGCATCCTTCCTTCCCAGAATCTCCAACTGCGAGTTCCTCACCCATTTGAGTAAGTCTTACCACCGCCCGGAGGTAAGCCCCAGCCAGGACTGGCTCTTCTGCTGGTTAGTGGGTACCTGGCACCCCCACCGGGTGCGAATACACAGAGGTGGCAAATACACATCTGGTGGATGAGCGAACAGCAAGCACACACTGCTGCCTCCCGCTCTCTCTTTTCCCTCTCCCCTCCCCACCACACGCCCACTTCCTGAGGGTCCAGTCTGGCCCAGGCACGCAGGGAGTTAACAGCGGACTCCCGACAGCCCCCTGGAGTAGCTGGGAGGGAGCCAAGCCCCAAGAGCAGCCCCAGGCTCTGGCCAGAGAGAATTTTCCAGGCGCTGCTGCATGGGGCTGCCTCGCAGAACAGGAAAGGACAGCCGGCCAAAACCATCAAGCCCAGGCCTCTCCACACAAAGTCTCTACCCTCCCTCCTATGGCATGGGGAGAGGGGGTCTACCGTCCTGAACCTCAAGCAGCGTCACCATCTAGGATATAGTGTAGACCCCTCTCTCCTGTGCCTAGAGCGCCCAGGGATGGAGCCACAGCACTCCCACCCCATCCCCCACTGGCCCTAGAAACCAGGGAGCCTCCTGCCTGCCAGGGCAGGCTTGGCTCCGGCTGCTGGGGCAGCTGCTTTCCACGGACCTGGGCCAGCCAGGAGGGCCGGACTGCTAAGCTGGGGAAGCCCAGGTGCCCAGGCCCTGCCTGGGTGGCTTCCAGGCCTGGTTGCCATCAGTGGAAGGCCTCAGCGAGGTTCTCAGGAGGGAGGAGGGGGCTGGAGCCAGGGTGGTCCATGTGCATGTGCATGTACATGTGTGACACGTGTGAGCTTACACATGCCAGGAATTCACTTGGAAGTATCTGTGTGTTGAGTTAAAGTTATGAGGAGGAATTTAGAATGAATCTTTACTTCCTAAACTTTCCGTAATCCTAGGTAACTTGTAATATAAAGCAATCCCCCCACCACCACCTCAAGTAATTCCTATCTATTGTAGAAAATTTGAAAAATTCAGAGGCATAAAGAATAAACCCCAAATTCCTAGGAATCCAACATTAACATTCAGAGGTATTTTTTTCTCCTCTTAAAAATGTTCACGCATGTGTACAACTTTTAAAAATAAAATTGGTTCATAAGAAACATCCTATTGCAGAGCCTGGTTTTAACAGCATGGGGTGAACCATCAGGGAGAGGCCGCAGCCTCCAGCTCCAGTCTGGGCTGTGAAGGCCCCTCTAGGTCACCCTCACCTCCACCCCATCACACATACTCATACATATGTTGTGGTGCACACATTCTCTCTCCCTCACTCACACACACATTTCTACTCATATAACTCATATACTCTCAACACACACACACCTACTCATACACTCTCTCACACACACTCATACATGCATTGTCGTGCACACATTCTCTCTCCCTTACACACACACACACTCCTACTCATATACTCTCTACACACACACCTACTCATACACTCTCACACAGAAACACTCATATTCTCTCTCTCATACACCTACTCATACACTCTCTCACACTCATACACTCACACACACACACTCATACACTGTCTCTCTCACACACCTACTCATACACTCACTCACATACAAACCTCATACACTCTTTCTCACACACATTCATACACTTTCTCTCATACACTGTTTCTCTCACACACTCATACACTCTCTCTCACACACACACACCATCATCCTGGCAACTCCAAGGCAGAGGAGTCAGTTGGTGCCAGGCCAGCGAAGAGAACCAAGGCCCCAGGAAAACCAGGTCCAGATGTGCACGGAGCTCACATATGGGCGTCCCCTGGCTCAGGGACCAGTGATGCCTGCCAGGATGGGTCTGGGGGAAGGGAACTGCGCCTCCCCCTGGCCCAGAGCCCAGCCTCCTCACACCCTCTGGGACGCAGGGCACATCCTGCACAATGCCGGTGGTGAGGGCAGCTGAGACCCAGCACTGTAACAGGCAAGTTCTCAGAGTGGCAGAGGAAGGTGGTGGTCAGGGTGGGACAAGAAGGGTTCCAGAGACACCGCCTCACACACAGTTCCCTGATGACAAGAATTTGTCATCCCCAACACCAGGCTCCAGCCCTGGCAGCCCTACCGGGCCTCGATGCTCCAGAAGAAGGGGACGCTGGGCCAGGAGTCCAGGGCTCTGCATGGAGCCAGCTGAGCATGCCAGGAATCTCCTGCCCACCTGGAGCCGGTTCCATTTGGAATGGTCTGCCCTCAGCCTGCATCTACCACGCCCCACCACCGTCCCAGGCCTGGTAGCTCCGAAGGGTCTCAGGCTGGGATGCACCAGGGACAAGAGTCCTGTTGGCCATACTTACAAAGAAGAGCAAGTTGAAGAGGAAGAGGAAGTATTTGATGACTTTGACACAGGCTGACCCCATCCTGCGGCCCTGGAGCTCCCTGTGGAGAGAGGAGGCAGGTAGGTCAGTGCAGGGTGGGACTGGGCGGGGCAGGAGGGAGAGGGAACCAATGCTAGTGGGCGCCGACCATCTAACAACAACCCACGGAGGTAGTACTAATGTGATGTCCCGTTTTATGGCACTGTGAAGCCCCAAGAGGTTAGATGACTGATCAAAGCCACACAGCTGGGAGGTATGGTCCTGAGTGGTTTCAGCTGTTAGATGTTTGGCAGTCAGTGTCTGAGTCAGCCACTCTACTGGGGCCAGGCCTGGAGGAAAATTATATGGAGAATCTCAGGGTTTGGGATTTGCCTACATGGGCTCCTGGAAGTCCAAAATGTTAATGAGTGTCTGCTGGACACCCAGAGGGTGAGAGACCCCTGGCTTGTTCCACGCATTGTCAGATCCCCTCAGACACCACTCATGCTTCTGAACAGCACAAACCATGCTTGAGCATGCTGTGACCCTTTACTCAGGACCCTAGGCCAGGGCAGGACTAGGGCAGAAGGGGAAAGCTGCAAGCTGGCTGCCCCTGTGCCCTCCCCCAGGCCAGACAACACAGGAATGACGGAACCAGAGCCAGGCAGCCAGGGCTGGGACAGCTGGCCAGGGCAGCTGCAGGGCTAGAGCCAGGCTGGGGGTAAGGGAAGCAGGCACCAGAGCCAACCACGTTCCCACCACCCTATGAAAGTAGGAGCGGGGTGGGGGTGGAGGTGGGGGGCAGGCACAGAGCAGAGAGAATAGGGGCCCGGAGGCCCTTGCAGGGTGAAGGGCATCCTAAGTCATGGGAATCTCCTGCGGAGGTCCCTCATGTGCTCTGGCCATAATTACAATCTTCCATCATCCCTGCCAAGTGGAAGCTCGGCTTCAGCTTTACACAATTCCAGCCAGAGACGGGGGAGGGGGAAGGGGACGGGGGAGAGGGATGGGGGAGGGCCCCGTCCAGTGTCCTGACATCCCTGTCTTTAGCAGCTGCCTATCTAGGGGTCAGATTTGGGCCCATGAACCAAAGCCCCTGAAAGAAGGGAGAAGGCTGCCTGGCTGGTGGTGAGCGCCCCATCACAAGCGCCATGGAAACACAGTCTGAGTCAAGAAAATGGGGGGTTCGAGTGCTCCATGGGGAAATTAGACGAAACGGCTCTTCCAAGCCACAGGGGCCCACGGTTTGGGTCTGAGAAGTGGAAAGAGGGCAGTGACTTAGCAACCATGGAAGTCCAGCCTTAGCAACCGTGCCCCCCCCCCCCCGCCCCAGACTCTGGGGGGAGAAAACAGGCCGGCCACCCCCATGTCAGGAGACACAGAGATCTGAGAGTAGGCCTGCGGGGGGCCAGGGGGTTGCGGGGAGGACGGTCTGCATACAGGAGAGCTACTGTTTTCCTTCGGCCCCTCCCAGCACAGCGCCTGACACCCCGCAGGCTCTGCAGACACTTGCAGGGAACAAACAGCCAGGGAGGAAGGTCCTCCTGTGGAGGGAGGCGTGCTTTTCTCTCCTCCCTCCTCCCGGGACCGGACCGGCTGGCCTGCCTGTTTTTTCCCCCCGTAAGTGACACGTGATGCCTGCCCCACGGGCAGACACAGGCCCGGCCAAACGGCCGGCCATCCGGGAGATGAAATAGTCGGAATTTCACCAGAAGAGCTTTTCAGTAACCACGTCCCGGCGTGGAGGGGCCCAGAGGCGGGAGCGGCGGGCCAGTGGGTTCTTGTGAAACTGGAGACGTGTGGAAACAGCCCTTTGGCAACGGCAGCAGCCTCGGAGCCTGGGAAGGGACTCTGTACACTTTCCGGCTCCCACATCCTCTTCTCGGGCCAGGTGTTCCCAGCAGCTTTTAAAAAATGTTTTTTCTTTTCCACTGATTTCAGAGAGAGAAAAAGGGGCGGGGCGGGGGCTAGAAACATCAATGATTTGAGAGAATCATTGATCAGCTGCCTCCTACGCACCCCACGTCAGGGATCAAGCCCGCAACCCAGGCATGTGGTCAGCTGCAGGCTGGGAACACACCCATGTCTCCCCCGATGGTGTGTGGCATCAACTTTAGAGAGCCCACCATCACCATCAGGCCCCGAGGAGACTCCAAAGTTGGAATCAGAGGGCGTGGGGTTCCATTCTAGCTCCCCCTGCTCATGCTGAGGGGTCTGAGCCTCAGTGTCCTCATTCACAGATATGAATAAGGGCTAAGGTAGGACAGGGGGTGGCCTGCCAGGCTGGGGGATCAAACCCAGCCCCCACCCCTCCCCCATGTTTATATGGCTTACAAAGTAAGAATAGATTTTACAGTTTTAAATGGTTGTGGGGGGAAAATAAAAAGAAGAGTATTTGTGACACATGACAATGAAATGCCGATGTCCATAAATAAAGTGGGCTGGCACACAGTCACACCCTCTCGTGTGTCTAGTCAGAGGCTGCTACGGCGCTGTGGGGGCAGGACAGCTTCAGCAAACCCTCAGCCCACAGGGCCCGACACATTTCCTGCCCGGCCCCTTATGGAAAATGTTTGCCGGTCCCTGGTGTAGGGGAGCCAATGATGGTGACACAGGATCCCCGGACAAGGCGCAAACCCTGGCTCTGCCCATCCATGGCCACAGGGAAGGACTTCCGGGGCCTCATTCTCTTCACCTGTAGAATGGGGCTCCCAACTGAAGCCCCTGTTATGAAGACAGTGAGGTCACAGACTCAGTGAGCGGAGCTGGCTAAGCATCTATGCTGGGCCTTCTGGGAGAAGTGAGGGTGAGCGTCTCCTTGGCAGATGAGATTAAACAGAGAGCCTCTCCCCAGGGTTATGCTTCCTTGTATGCACTTTCTGTAAACACTGGAGGGTCTGCCCAGGCTTTCCTATGAGGATGTCTTAACAAAACAAGCACGTTTTACTTGGGAAGTTCCAGAACCGTCACTGGCAGCTGTGTGAGCGGTAGGAGGAAGAAGGTACTGATTTTATGTTAGGCTTTGGTGCAGGTAAATCGACCATTTCTAAGCATCTATCATTTAAATCGACCACATATGTCATTTTATGCCAAACCAGTCTGTACAGTGAAATTATTGTGCTAATATATTATTAATTCCTACTCATCCTTCAGTCTCACCTCAGACATCCACCCCCTCCAGGAGCCCTCTTACTCCAGCCAGTCCTCTCACCACAACCATGGCCACCCCTCCCCGAGAGCCAACACACATTGGTTCCGGGCGCTCCCTCTCTGCTCCGCTCCAGTAGCTCTGGGTGCTGGAATGGTTCCCAGAACAGGCTCTGGCATCAGACTGCCTGGGTTTGAATGGGATCCTATCACCTCCTCGCTGTGTGCCTTTGACAAAGAAATTTACCTCTCTGAGCCTCATCTGACTCATCTGGGAAAAGAGGGAAATGAAATCTAGTTGGCAGATTTGCTCAGACGATGTGGGTAAAGTATCTGGTAGGCTTTCAATAAATGGAGGTTACTATTCCAACTCAGAAAGCTGTCCAGTAATTTTCCACTCACTTGTCCATCTCCCCTACGGGTTGTGGTACTTTGAGGGGAAAAACTGTGTATTATTTATGAGAACAAAGTAGGCCCCTAGAAAAATGTTGCCAACTAGAGCATGGGTGGATCGAGGGCTAGGAGGATGGAGGGAGAGATGGAGGAATGGATAGAGGGATGGATGGATGGATGGATGGATGGATGGATGGATGGATGGAAGAAAGGAGGGATGGATGAAGGAATGAATGGATGGAGAGGTGAAGGGGAGAGAGAAGAAATTCCACATTGAATACCAGGACTTTCAAGTACTCAGCCACCTGAAAGGGGTTGAGACCCACTGCCCCTGGGTCAGCTGAGACTATATTCCAGGCCTCTTTTGTCCTCGCCCAGGATGAGTGGGGGTTGTGTAGGGTGAGCACCCAGGGCCAGCTCTGAAAGTCAGACCCATTCCCAAGGCTCCCTTGCTTTCCCCAGAGCCCCTGCACTTGAAGAAGAGGAGGTTTGGTTTGTCCCTTGGCTGAGGAGGTCATCCCCCATGACCACCCTGACCCCAGAACTTGGATCTCCCCGCCTAGCCTTGGGGACACTGGGTGGGGCCTGCAGCATTGTACCTCAAGGTCCAGAGTCAGGAGGTACAGGCTGAGGCCTGCTCTGATGGGTCACTCAGTAGGAAACCTAGCACAGGCGACTGTCCCCACTCCCACCCTCCACCCTTCACGCCTACCCCACCCTCCTCACCTGTTGAATGGCAGGACCAGAGCAGTGTTTTAGGAGTAGTTCCTCCGAATACTAGTCCTAGGAGATCCCTGTAAAGAACAAAAAGTTTTGCTGTCACTGAGTTTGGGAAGGAACAGTTCTCTCCAAGAGTGACCGTAATTCAGGCTCTTAAGGACTCCAACTGGCTATAAACATCGCTGACTTAAAACCATTGTTCACTTAATAGCCCTTCACACCATGTGGAACACATCCTGGTAAGCTCTCGAGGTCCCTGGAGGGGGTGGAGGGTGGGGTGCTCCAGGATTCTAAGTACCGTGAGTTCAGAGGGGATGAGATGGCCCTTCCATCCTCCAGCTGAACACCTGGGAGCCTCAGGCAGGTCTCTGCCTCCTCCCCTCCTCCCACAGCCCAATCCAGGGCCCCTCCCGGCCCCTCGCCTCACCTCCCCCTGGACCAGTACAGTTCCCTGGCTGGTCACGGGTCCCACTCCTGCCCTTCCCCACCTGTTATCCACACCCCAGGAAGGGCTTTGCAAAACGTAGGCCAGATCTTGCCAATCCCCAACCCTGCAGCCCTGCAACGGTGATGAATCCGAGAGGCTTGCTATAGCATCCATGCTCTATGTCACATGTGTCAAACACAAGGCCCTTGGGCCAAATCCGTCCCGCCAGGCCTTGCAATGTGGCCTGCACCGCGCTGTCATTACTGCACTCCGCTGTGTTTCCATCACAATGACAGTTTATGACTGTTCAGTAAACCATTCGGCCCGCGATTTAGGCTGGATTTTAGATTTTGGCCCCTTCTCTGATTGAGTTCAACACCCCTACTCTATGTGGCCCCCGGAGCCCTGCCTGGTGTCCCCTGCTCCCCTCTGTCCTTAGCACCTCCCCCTTCTCACACACACGTTCATTCCTCAGGCCATAAAGGCCACGCTTTCCTGTTGTTCCAGTAGAGCAGGCCCTTGTCCACTGCAGGCCCTTGACTGGCCTCGTATCCCATGACCACTCCTCCCCCCCATGACCACTCCTCCCCGCAAACCCCAGGCTGGCTCCGAACCTCCTTGTAGGCTGAGCTCCCTCCTCCCACAGGCCTTCCCCGAACACCTAATCTACTCACTGGGCCTCACCCCCAGCTGCACATTGGAGCCAAAATATGGCAATGTCCACCCCCCATCCCTAACCCACCAAGTCATCAAAATCTTGGGGAACTCCCCTAGTGACTATATAAGAGCAGTAGCTTTAACACATGGCCCTGTCATACGCCCTGTTCACTGCATTTGTCCTCTTGGTTCACTACTGTGTCTGCAGCCCCCGTTAGAGTCTGGCTCCTTACGGGGAGGGACTGGGTCTGTCTTATTCACCCAATACCCCAGAGCCTAGGACAGTGCAGGAAAGGAAACAGCGGGGGCAAGGGCAGCCTGGAGAGGTCAGGAAAGGTTTCTTAGAGAAGATGAGACAAACCGACATTGACGCTGCAACTGGAGGCTTCTTGTCCTTAGAAATGACGTGGCTGGCTCGTGGGGAGGGGGCTGCTTCCCACAGAGTGGGATTTTCATCTCCTTTGGGTCAGAAAAGCCAAGGGAAGCTGTGAACTGTCCCCCCCCCCCAAGAAAGACGCACACAGTGGGGCAGGCAGATGCTGTCACCTGGCCAGCGGGACATAAGCAGGGAGAGCCAGGAGGTGCTTACTTCCCCTTTTGGCTCCCTTTCGTGTGGAGCAAGCCCTCAATCATGGCTGCACACAGGAATTACCCTGGGAGCTCTGAGACTGGCCGGTGCCCGGGAGATGCTGATATCATTGGTCCGGGGAACAGCCCGGCATCAGGATTTTTAAAGCTTTCCCAGGGACTCTAACGTGCGAGACCCACTGCCGTAGGCCCCATGGCCAGCATGGCCTGGTGCCTCTGCTGGGAGTGGGATGCAGGCAGGCTGGGATCCCAGTGCAGCAGAGCCTGGCCAGGGGAAATTCCCACAAAGCTCCCGGCACCTCTGCTCCATCCTTTCTTCCTCAGGAGGCACATGCCCCTGAGTCACCAACTCCAAAGCAATGTCCGCTCTGCGGGCGAAGGCCTTTGAGATCAGTGCATTTTTCAGAGGGGCCCGGAGGGAGGAGGAGCCTGCAGGCCACACAGTGAAATCAGGGCTGAGCACGTGACGGAGGCCTGGGCGAGCCTGGGTGCAGAGCTCTTCTCCCTCCGTCTGCGGCCCTGTCCCAGCTCACCGGGCCTTCGGCAGAGGAAGGTACCAGAACTGAACTCAGCCACATGGGCCTGGGAGACACTGCAGAGCTACCTCCTTATCAGCGAATGGGGATACCAAACCCGCCCACCCACACTGCTGAGACGGTGACCTGCTATCAGGCTAGCACACAGGAGGGCTCAGGCCATGCTGGCACCCTAGCCCACCCCTCCTCTTCCTCCCTGAAATGCCAAATCGGCTGCATTTTACCAGCTGTGTGGCCTTGGGCAACCATTTCACCATGGTGCCTCAGCTTTCCCACCTATCAAATGGACTTAATCATGGGTTAAGATGAGACGTGCATGAATTAGTATCTGTAAAGTGCCTGGCACCCAGTAAATGTCAACTAAATGCTACCCATTACGAGGATGACGATGAGTCTCCGGAAGTAGTTAGTTTCCACCAACAGTTTGAAAGCCCTCCGAGGGGCTTGACCAGCCTCCAGATGTGTGCCCAGCCTGGGGGGTTCCGGGCCAGAGGGTGACAGCCGCTGCTCTGAGGCAGGGGGTGGGGGTGAGGTTAAACAGGACCGGGCTGAGCCGCCTCAGGAAGGAGGGCCTCTGCCTTCACAGGGGAGGGGCCTCTGTCTCTGAGCCTCTGGCTGTGCCCAGGGGCCTGTCTCAGGCCTGGAGGTCCAGCCAGTCTGGTGAGTTGGACAACTGATGCCGTGGGAGCTCAGGCTGCTTCCTTGGGCAGAAAATGGAGCGAGAGAGCCTGACCTGGCCGCTCTGCTTGGAGCCCTATCTGCAGGCACTCCGCCTGCAACCCCGGTCCTGGGCACCCTGCGCTCCGGTGCCTGGGCTTTGTGTCGGTCACCCATGCAGAGGCCGGCCGCGGGTGGCTGCATTTGTTTTTACATGTGACAGGTAATGTGTTTCCTGAAAACACTGCTGACTCCAGGGACTGGCCTTTTGAACTCCTCAATATCTTATTTTTCAGGCTCTGATCTTGGTGTTTTTTTTGTTTTGTTGTGTGTGTGTGTGTGTGTGTGTGTGTGTGTGTTTTGTGTGTGTATGTGTGTGTGTTTTGTTTTTTGTTTGTTTGTTTTTGTTCTTGTTAAAACAATAAAAGAAAAACAAAAGTAAAAGGCTGTTACTCTGGGAAACAGAAAAATCGTGAGGCCACCGGCGTGATTAGGATCTCAAGTTTCCTCCAAGACCTGGGTTCGAATCCCAGCTCTGTCTCCTACTAGCTGAGCTGTGACCTTGAGCAAGAGAGTAATTAAACCTCCCAGAGCCCAGCATCTCACCTGTAACCCAGGGACACGAGCAGGACCCTCTCGTAGGGTTGTTGGGGCACTGAGACAAGGTGTGTAAAGAGCTTTGGGGAAACGGTCAGTTGCTTAATACAAGTGAGTAAATCCCACCGCCACTGCCATCATGGCTTGGAAGAAACATATTCAGATCAGACCCTCCCGGGAATCATGGGATTTCTGAGCCCCAAGGCCTCCTTTCTTCTTACTGATACAGAACTCAAGGCTCCATGAGGAGCGGCTCCTGCCATATGATTCCATCCATGTGTGAAAGAGGCTCCCATTCTCCTGAGGGCTTAACCCCCTGGAGCTGGAGCTGACCCCGGCATTGGGGGGGAAGGCCAGGGGTACCAGAGGAATGTAGGCAGCAGCCACCGCTGGCCAGTCTGTGGCAAAGTAGGGATAGCACTTTATAGTTTGTATCATGCCATTCCCACTGTCCCCCATTTAATCTAATGCCCTACCCTTGAGATATTATTGTCCCCATTTAACAGAGGAAAAAACTGAGACTCGGAGGTTCAGGGGCTTGCCTAAGGTCACACATGTAAGTGACTAAAACCCTGATTAAAAATCAGGTCTGTCTGGCCCTGGCTGGTGTGGCTCGGTTGATTGAGCATTGTCCCATGCACTGAGAGGTCACTGGTTCAATTCCTAGTCAGAGCACATGCCTGGGTTGTGGGCTTGAGCCCCATGGAGGGGGGGGGGAGGAAGAAGAGGCATACAAGAGGCAACTGATAGATGGTTCTCACTCATCGATGTTACCCTCTCTCTACCCCTCCCTTTCCCTCTCTCTCTAAAGACGTCTCAGTGGACATCCACTGCTCAGAGTTTTCGACCTGCTGCCTATGGGAACAAGGTAGATGATGGCGTCTGCCTACCCTACCCTTTGATTCCTCTGTTTGCCCGCATGCCCTCCTGCCCTCCCCCAGCTCTGAGGCCTGCCTCTTAGCTTCCTGTCAGGAAGGAAAAGGTCAGCCCCACCAAACCTGGCCAGGGTGTTCCTTCAGTGTGCCTGATGAGGCCGACAGATGTGGCCCTTCCCAGCAGGCTTTGCTCTGAAACCCAAGAAATGAGATTGGAGAGCCTTCAGCATCAAAGAAGGGGTTCCCGCCAAAACCGGTTTGGCTCAGTGGATAGAGCATCGGCCTGAGGACTGAAAGGTCCCAGATTCGATTCCAGTCAAGGGCATGTACCTTGTTTGCGGGCACATACCCAGTGGGGACTGTGCAAAAGGCAGCTGATCGATGTTTCTCTCTCATCGATGTTCCTAGCTCTCTATCCATCTCTCTTCCTCTCTGTAAAAATCAATAAAATATATTTTAAAAAAAAAGAAAGAAAGAAAAGAAAGAAAGAAAGAAAGAAAGAAAGAAAGAAAGAAAGAAAGAAAGAAAAGAAAGGGTCCCATCTGGCAGCGTGGTGAAGAGCACACACCTGGAGCCTTTCAGCTGGCCTCACACCACCAAAGACTCAAACTGAGGCAGAGTCGTTGCCTTTGGCCTCTCCTTCTCCATGGCTCCCTTTCTTGATGTTTTTGGTCTTCTTAGCAGGCTGCTTGGGCCCCATGCAGACCCTGCTCCCTCCCAACCCTGGGTTCTAAGGT